CGAAGTTCCAGGCTTCGCGGAGACCTCCTCTCCTAATGTTATTGGCCACACGTGCAAGTTCGGAGAGCAATGATCGAAGTGGTTAGGACCATAGCCGAGGAGCGCTCGTAATCCGAGAAGCAGCGCCTCGGGCCGGATGGTGTGACCAGCGGTGAAAGCACATTGAGACCACGAAAGAATTGACTTCATTGTAGCAGGCAAGAGTTCTCAAAGACGTTGACCTGATGGTATGGCATTTGAAGAACCAGTCAAAATCTTCCCCTCACTCAACATACAAAAGAAAGATCTTGTAAAGTTGACCTTGGAACGTTACTCGAGTGATCATTGTCAGTCTTGGCTGCAAGGTTAAAGGCAAAGTCCGGTAACGAACTGAAGCATTAGTACACTTGTAAGTGACAGTGAGCTGTGGAGTGTCACGTCAATAATTAAAAAGTGGAGAAAAACCGTCTACATAGACAAAAATAAGGTCTCCTCTCCGCGTAGTAGCACTGATTTGTGGGCGGGCTTGGGCGGAGCCAATGCTGAATCCTAGGACCTCAGCGCCTCGGTCCTGTCAAATCATTCCGAAGGTTTTGTACATGTTTACCGTTTGTGTACCGCTGCTCTTCGCTTGGGGAAAAGCCTAATTTCGAGCGGAAATCCCGGACTTGCCTTCAATTACGTCGAAGGATTTAGCATTTTTGAAGGTGATTTTTTAAAGCTTACTCTTAAAATTTATCAAAAAGAGTTATATAATTGGGAACATTCTGAAATTCTGAGGGGATGTGTAGCATAAATGGCAAAATAAAAGCATGTTCCACTATTGATTAGGTGTGGTTACTGACGGCTTGAAATGAAATGTAGCTGCGAAGTGAATCACCGATGGCGAAAAAGGAAGGAAGACCGAGAAAAACGGTGAAAATAAGAACTCTCACTAGTGTTCTGCGGGCAGTCCAGAGATGGTCTGTGAGAAGACAGCTCAGCAGACACTCTGCGACGAGGTGAAGAGCAGACTCTAGGCAAGACAGCGCGGCGGTAGAGCGAGACGCAGAGACTGCAAAGGTGACGTGCACTATTATTTGTGGTGTCCGTGAGGGGAAGCTCTAAGCATTCAACGCACTACTGACGCTTTTCAATCGTTTAGGCGGTCCTATTAGACGACTAGGTTGTGCTACC